TTTTGCTGTAATTCTCTCTCATCATGAGCAATATCAAGCTTCATCTCCTACTGGCCATCCACAAAGAGAAGCCGAATAAAACTCCGTAATGAGTTCTCACTGTGGAAATCTTTCCCACCATCCATGTTTTGTGCACCTTTGACCTCACATTCCCATAGAAAACGACCTTTGCTGCATCTCATGGCTATGATCAGTTAACACCGAGTTTTATATTACATTCAAATCCCCTACGACATGACTTAAATCTGAACCAAAACAAGGGTAAAAGGTGTGAAAAAATCCAGTTATAGCTTCTTTATAAATGATGATTCCGTTTAAGAACTAGAAAGTACTATTCAAAAGAGAGGATAAAAGACATCTTCTACAGTAAAACATTAATCTAGAAAGGGACTCACAGCTTTCAGGACTCCTAGGAGGATTTGCTATCTGTATTGTCTATAAATCATGCCAGGTTAAACCTCATCTGTTGCAAATACTTTCCAATCAAAGTATTGGGGTACAAACCTGCATAACACGATCCAGAGTCAGTGCTACAGGAGGGGTTTGGCTGGGGAAGGGGGTCTCAGGGTGCTCCTCTGCTCTGGAGCCTACGTGACCTTCCTATCTTTGTGCCTCAGTAAAGGTTGTGAGTCATCCACTGCTGCCGTTACACAGATGAACTAAGTTAATAAAAGAGACAGGGCAAACATCCTGTTTTGTTCTTAATTTGTATCACTGACTAAGCTGGAGCTTAATTAAGCACCTTCCCTCCCTATAGGACAGTCTAATCATCCTCACCTATGTATGTAAAACACTACACAGGGTCAATATATACTGTTCTTTATACCAGAAAGCTGTATCACTATGTCACCACAATAACCGAACCTGTCACCAAGCTAGGTAGAAATGCCAAAGATGTAATGGGTTGAAGAGACTGAAATACCCTCTCAGCTCTAGAGCTGATGTCTTCCTCCTTCATACAAGGTATTGAGACGTGCGTGGAGCAGAGCTCATTCTTGCTGAATCATTCAAAGCAAGCCTTTTTCCTGCTTATAAATGATCCTCAACATGGCTGCTTTCCTGCCACGTGCATTAGCACGCAGGGTTTCTCATCTAAAGCATCGAGCAAACAAATCCTAGCTTGTGAATTGCTGTCAAGCTCTTCCCCAGTCATCTTCCTCTCATCTATAAGCCTATGGTTCCCATGGGGTGCCTGGCCCCATCAGCCACAGGGGCATAGTTCTGCTTCCCAGGACTCCGAGTATGCCAACTGACTTCCCAACTGACTGTGCACAAGAATTAACAAGACTGATCTCAAACACTCCTCTCAGTAGCCTGGATGCAGGTGAATGCTCCTTAAAAGATGTTGCCATCGAGGAGAACATCTCAGCTGCCACATCAACAGCGCACCAAACGCTTCATCGGCTTCCCTCACCCTTCTCCCTGCTATTGAGGGGTGCTGGGAGCAGGGTGCTGGGCATGTCCCAAACCCATCCTGCAGGGAACACAACAGGAGGTGGTAAAAACCTCCCAGCAAAGCAAGTAATAGAGAAAAGGAGATTTTTGTGTTTGACAACTAGATGAGTAATCATCCCCAATTCCCTGCTTCACCCTAATCCCCGCTGAGTCACTGGGGCCCTGCTGATACCCTGGGCTGGGTGACTCCTCTCTCAGAGGCTGCCAGGGATTTTTGCCATATGGCAACAAGGAGATTTGATTAGTTGACTGTTTCCTATTTGTTTTAATTAGTAGTTTATTAGCCATATGTTAAATTGCACATTTCAACTACTCAGCAGCGTTACTGGAAGTCAGAAAGAATCTGGACGGGGTTTCTCTTTCTTCCTGAGCCACGTGGGTATTGCCTTTGAGCATAATGTCACCTGGTGGGAGAGCAGGAGTGTTCTCCCTTGTCTCATCCTATCTCATCTCTTCTTGTTTTATTCAATCTCATCTTGATCCTTGAGGTGCTTTCCAACCTGATATTCTATGATTCATCTGCCACCTTTGCCAGCCCTGGGCAGGGGGGCAGATCAGACCCCTGGCTGCCTACCAGACCTGCTTGTCACACTGGTGGATGCTGATGGGCCTTGGCATGCCCAAGCTCTGAGAGGTCTGGTCTGCTGTGGGACAGCCAAGGACAACCTCCTGAATGAGCAGTGTGGGGCTTCTCCTCTGTCTTCATAGCAGATTAACAGAAAACCTCTGCATCAATCACACTGGGGTGTTTGCACCTCTTTGTTTCTGCATTCCCATCAATCAGTCAGTTAAGTATTAATGGGAAACAGATTAAGAACACCAGGCTGGATGGGGCTTTGAGCAACCTGGTCTAGTGGAAGATGTCCCTACCCATGGCAGGGATTGGAGCTAGATGAGTTTTAAGGTCTCGTCCAACCCAAACCAGTCTGTGATTCTATGACAGATTCAGTTTAAAACTCACTACAATATACACAGAGACCTGAGAGTGGTTTTAACTCAGTCCTGGCACACAAGCTTTTATTGCAGACAGGTTCTGGCACCAAGGGCTGCTGCTACCATAGGTTTTACCAGCACACAGCTCTTTCTAAGAAGAGCTAACCACAGATCCCATATTCCATCCCACCTCTTGTCAGGAAACCACTGGGAAAGTCATTGCAGCATCTGACTGAAAACACCACCAGAAAGTTCTGGGCAGCTCAGGAAACATCCCAGATCTGTGTGGGTCCAAAGAGGTCCAGCAGGGCCTTGATGTGGTGCTGGTGGCCCATGGAAAGCACAACCCACTCACAGCATCACTCAGGACACTCCTGATGGCCATACCTGGAGAGCAGCTTTCTTTTGCTTTTTTATGTTACTGGATTAATAATAAATATTAATTACAATTATTAATATCAATTAATAATTAATAGTTCATAAATAAATGGATTTCTCCAGTGATTTGCCCAGAGCTTTTCCAGCTCCTCTGATTTCTCTCAGTGACCAGCACTGATGGCAGACACAGACTTTTATCAAAGCTCCATTTCCAGCTTCAGGTTTTACTACTTCTGCACACAGAAATGCACGAACGCACTAATCATTTATCCTTGACTACCTTTACTTATTCATATTCTTATGGCTTTCCACCATTACCACACTAGATGTCAAAGCAATCGCACATCATTAAACACCAGATTCTGGCGTTTTATTCTAGGCTAATTTGTTTAAATGTGTTGACTTTTTTTTCCCTAAGAGAACCACGAACATTTTACACACTCATCTCAGCAGCCTCTCCGTGACCATTTCCTTCCATCACAGAAATGTCAAGTATTTCACAGCTGCACCTTCTCTCGGAAAGCATCTTTAAGACAGGTTTAGAATGCAGTTTAGAAATGCAGGTTCCTAGATGTTGGGATTGATTTTGTTTCTTCCATCAGCTCAGGGGTTGTAACGGCCTAAAATGCAGCAACTCCACTCTCAGATTTAATCACCGCCTTCCTCCGATTCACTCCTGCACTCGCTCGCTGTGTGGGCTCAGATCAATTTTTAGATTCTAATGACTGACACATGTTTAAAATACATTTCAGTTGCAGCTTACAATAGCTCCCAGGTACAAATTTGCAAGCGCAGATGATTGCAGCCCCAAGCCCTTGCCATTGCCATGTGAAGGTGGGTGGAAACACTCGTAGATGCTGATGGGCGCTGGGTGCAGACTCCACCACCCTGCAGCGGCTCCTGGTGCTCCTGGGGCAGGAGCTGCCTCCTCCTCCCCAGCACAGAACAGAATCAGAATCAACCAGGAAAAGACCTTTAAGATCAAGTCCAACCATTACCCCAGGGCTGCCAAGACCACCACCACACCATGTCAATAAGGGCCTCATCAGCATCTTGCCTGCCCTGGCAGCGACCAACAGCCTCAAGCCTTCCTCCAGCCCAACAGGCACTCGGGTGCTTTCCAAGAGCCCAGGGTTGAGTACGTAGCTCTGACTTTACTAAGCAGCCCAGAGCAGACAGCAAAGCTGCTTTTCACAGCTCGATAATAAGAGTTTTCTCAAGCGATCGTGTTCCACTGCCCTCCAAGTGGTTTGTACATCAACCTATTAATACTCCACACCCTCTCCTGTGGGCTGTGCTCTCTGTAATATTCTCCTCAAAATAATTTGAGGGTGGCATGAGGAGATGGAGGTTATACAGCTGTCCACCTCACATGAACCAGCAGCAGCAGCAGCATCCCACCCCACGCCTCGTGCCAAGCTCGGTGACATTTTGGCGTCTCTACTGTGACAAAACATAGGTGCTTACTACAAGAGCATTACAAAGCATTACTAATGGAAGGAGGTTTTGATTAGCAGGCCCTGGAGAAGGAGTTCTGCCCAACAGTGAATCCTGGAGCTTGCTGACATTCCCTTGTTCACATCAATCCAGCAAGCCCAAGCCTGCATGCACCAACACACAGGAGCTCCTTTTCCACAGGAGCCAACTTCCCCCTCGGTTTCAAACACATCCCTGCACCCTCCCCAGCTCCTGTATTCCTCAGACCCAGCTCTCTCTGAGACACTGGGGTCAATGAGCTCTGCCTCTGCCCTAGATGGGACAGGGAGACATTTAACAGAGCCCTCCATGGCTGCAGTGCCTGTGCCACACTGTACAGCACAGGAAACCTCTTGATATTGCATTTCTGAGTATTTCAACTACAGGCTCGCCCATATCCCAGTCTCCTGATGGTCTTTCCCCACAAAATGAATCCCACCATCCCAGGTCATCCACTTCGCGCTGCGGAGGAGTCACCAACACTCTTCCTGCAGCACAAGATGTTCATTTGTGTACAGAAGCAATGAGAGAAGCCTCCCTCTAAGAAGGGATGAGGAGCTTCATGTTTACCCTGCCTGGTATATGAGAGATTATAATGCCACTGGTCATGTTAGGAAACACTGACAAATGGGACAAAACACGGAGGTAATCCTTGAAGCCAACTGAAACCAAATATTCTGTGTGATTTGGTTACAAGTGCAGATAGAAACATGCTCTGTGGCCTCAATGCAGTCCTGTTAAATATTAAAGTTATTTACTAAGCACACAAAGGGTCGGAACTTCCAGCTGATTGTTGGAACAATGCAGATTCTGGGGAGGAATACGGAACAGCAGGGATGCCAGCAGCTCTGCCAGGGTGTGAGCAACAGGAAGTTATCCTTCAACTGGAAAGTAAGACAAATGAGACAGTATTAAAGCATCAGATAAGAAAAGATGTTCCCTTTATTAAAAAATAGCAGTACATTCTTTACATTTAGCATAAAATCTGCTGTAATTACCTAGCAGTTGGAAAGCAATTTGCAACAGGCTTTATTGTTCAGCATCTGCAGCAAATTCTCAGGGAAACATCCACCAGGGAATAAAGTAAAATGAGATGTGCCACAGTAACTACAACATTTAAATGCTTGCACAATGGAAATTTCAGTGAGGCTGAAATGAACTACGACGCAATTCTACTTGTGTTGCTGTTCTTGTTTTGTTACTTAAAGGGCTCTGGGTTCGACTCCAGGTTCTTTTTCTCCTGTATACACACACGCACCAGGAATGTTGAAATCCACACAAACTGATGAGGTTTTACTACACAAAACTAAAAATAATCATCAAAATTAAAACCAAGTCTATTGCAGCCAAGAAACAAGAAACCTTCTGGCAGATACCACCACCAGGACTTCCTATTTATCAATGCATTTACATTTACAGGGAACTTAAAAGGGCCTGTAGGGACAGGCCAAGGGGAATGGCTTTACCCTGCCAGAGGGGAGACTGAGATGAGCTCTTAGGCAGAAGCTCTTCCCTGTGAGGGTGCTGAGGCCTGGCACAGGGTGCCCAGAGAAGCTGTGGCTGCCCCATCCCTGGCAGTGTTCAAGGCCAGGTTGGACACAGGGGCTTGGAGCAAGCTGCTCTATGGAAGGGGTCCCTGCCCGTGGCAGGGGTTGGAGCTGGAGGAGCTTTAAGCTCTCTTCAACCCAAACCAGTCTGGGATTTTATGATTTACCTCTTAGAACAGGTAAAATAGCTTGCAAGTGAACTAATGACTTCCAAATTCACCACAGCATCCCAGAGTAACTATTTCATCCAGTGGAGAAAGCCGGAGTTCACACAAGGTTTTCTGGATGTTTCAAGGAAGCTACGTTTTATTCCCACTTAGCCTGGTATAAATCTGGCCTAACTTCACTACTGGTGAGACAGGCAGTCAATAGAACTGGGATGGAAATAAGTAACTTCAACTTTGTACCATTCAGGAATTCTGCCTCAGGTGCTGAAACCGATGTGACACAGGAAGAGAACATAAGCCTGATGCTCTCCAAACATGGGGCCTCCCATGTCGCATAGAGCCAGCCACGCATTCATGGGATGTCTGTTTAGTCCTTCCTTTTTCCTTTTCTCACTGATGAAATACCATTCCTTCTGATTTAATTCAGACCATCAAAGAAAACAGGAATGTATCTTTGCAAGGAAACGTACCTTATATTCCAGCCTGGCCTGAAGCTAAATGGCATAAACAAATTCATCCCTTTCAGCAATGAGGACATGGTTGCAAGAGTGCTTGGAATTAAGGAATATTAACCAATTTCCTATGTTTTTCTCCCATGTAGAATTATGTTTCAGAACTCTGCCTCGTGCTTTGCTACCCTACATTTTCCTGCCCAAGCAGGCTGTGTGCCCTCCAGCCTCCAAGCGGGTTATTAGTCTTACAAAATGCATAGGATTAGAAGTGCATGCCTTTAAGCTCTACAGGCAGAATTTTACCCAGCGTGATTGCACAGATACAAATGAGAACAGGGCTTGATTCTAGGATGTTTACAGTACCATGCAATTTGCTTTAACATGCTGACTCCCAATGTAAAGCAAGTTCCATGCAGAGGAAGTTAATGTCTATGTCCTCTTTCAGATCAGAGCAAAGCACACTCAAATGGGGAAATCAAAGTCTTATTATTAAGTAAAATAATTGCCTCATTCAAGAGAAAAGGGAAAAATTCAACTAATGCTCAAAGACATGGGATGATCTGTGAGTGAAAGGAAGGAATGTAATGACAGGGATGTGACTGTATGCTCTATGGGCTGGTAGGAAAGCAGGAATAATAGAGAGCAAGGAGAATCAGACAGACATTTACAAGAATCCTAGACTTTATTCAATGAATTATTTAAAGTCTATTTCTGATCTGGCACAGGAGGTCACTTGCTCTCCAGAACAGAGCAACGGGAGCCCCATCACTTCTACCATTCAAAACTGAAATGAGCCAAGTGATAGAAGATACACAGCCTAGAACCATCATCCTGTGGCTCCAGGGACAGACAATTTGTCCTTGGTAGACTTCCCCTCTTTTAGTATTTCTGACATGTTTGCAGAAATACTGGAAGTTCAGTCTGATGGCTTCACTGGGTAAACACTGATACCTCCATATGCATCAGTACATGTGGACCAAAGCTGTGGCCAGGTTGTGTTGGATGGCTTAAGTGTGCCACCACAAATAGCACCAAGCTGGATGAGACCCTTCAGACTTACCAAATGATAGCATTAAATCACAACAACTCAGTCTTGAAAGATTCCTTTGGTATTGTCTTACTAAAGAGGAAGGCTAGATGCTATTCAAAAGAGCCTTAAGCCCCTAAGCAGCCTCAGGAGCTTTCCCCTGGACTAGGGCTCTGAAGCATATGAACACTGTGACAGACAAACTTTGTCTTTATTACAGCCTTGTCAAAGAGTTGGGGAAAAAAGATAGAAATATGAGCTGAAAGTGATGAACTAAATCCCATGGAGGTTAATGACTTTAATGTCATAGCCAAGGGCTCACGCAGTATACTGCAGCAGTAATTTGGGAACACTAGCATCCCAACCCAGTTCTACAGTGGTAACTCATCCTTCCTACTTTGCTTCAGAGAGTACAGGCAGACTAAGAGAAGACACATCTTCCCACACACCACCCAAGAGTTTCTGCAGACCAAACCTCCAGCCTTCCCTCCATATTCCCAGGGTCTGAGGGAGCACAGTGCATCAGTAGAAAATGGAAAGTATATCTTTAGAATAAGGTTAATATCAACAGCCCCGTTTTCCAGGTCCATGAGAGAAGGAGAGGCTGAAGTCACTCTTCATTCACCAAACAGTGCCTCTATCCCCCTTTGAAGCCATGGAGGTGTTATTCGTTCTGTTTCTAGACTCTTTCATTCCCCATCCTACAAATATCCTTGACCAAAGGACTTACTATCAGAGAGGAATCTAAAAATGTACACTTGATTTACCTTGTTCAGCACATTCCCAGTGGCTGAGTTTGCCATAAATAACCATGGTGCAAAAGGTGAAGATGAACAACTTGGGATATGTAGACACAAACAGAGAGAAACAGAGAGAAACAGAGAGAATAAGTTCCAGGCAAAGCCAACATACCCAGTTCCTCTCACTCCTGTTCAACTGCAGCAATTTCACATCTCTGGGAAGAAGGGAAAAAAGCTTCAAGCATGAGATTATTACATTTTGTACATTACACCCTGATAGAAGTTAAAAATAGACTCTGATGGTTGCTAAGTGCGTTTCAAATGGCTTTCCTTAGAGGTAAAAATGGGATTTGATTTGAAAAAGCAGAAGGTGGGATTCATAACATCTTGGGAAAGAGCAGAACAGAAAAATCTCCAGTTGTTGGAATGGAAGGAGCAGGGATTTCCTTACTCCTTTTTTTCCCCATGAGAGTTGACAAGGGGTATTTTCTGAAAGACTATTCCTGGCTTCCTAATATACTACATGAAGAACACAGACGCAAGCTCATAGCAGTTCTCACCCCCTTCCTTTACACAAAACCACAAGGTTTGCCTTTATTCATAGGTCTGAACTCCTGAAGCATAGGGACTGAGTGCCATTCCATTAAAAGCACTGTGGTTATCATTTTGTAATTAAGAAAATTAACTGTTATAATAAAGGCTGAGCGTTGTAACTGAAAGACATCTTATGTCAGGACAACTTTTGAGGCACGCTCCAGGTATTAGGAAAGTCATTTCCTGCAGCAGTCACTGCTGTAGAACTGGGCAGCTCGTACCTAACAGGACACATACCTACTCAGCAGAAAACAGTCTTGAGATAAGTACTATTGCAGCCACGCAAATAGCATGAACATAATATTTACAATGATTAGATGCTGTTAAAGCTTATGCAGAAGCAGTCATGAGTGGACAGGGAGAGATGAGGTTGGGAAGGGCGGTAACCAGAAGCTCAAGCATCCAAGGCATGCTCTGAAGCATCAGACATTTGCTGTGAGCTTGCAGCAATACAGAAATAAGAATCACTATCCAGAGAGAGCATTAAAATGGAAGGAGAAGAGTAAAATAATGGTTCAAAGAAAGCAGGTGTTAAATTACTGCATTTACGTTATACATTGATGTGGAAGCACGTATATTGCAGGGAAAAGAAAGAAACCTCATTTACTTTCGTCTGTAACTTTTTCATTACAAACTCATTGTGTCCTTATCAAGGCAACATTAAAAGAAAAAGCATTACCATGGCTGAGAAAGAAAAGCTATTTATAACCAATTCTGTTGAGGGATACAGATACAGGTTTTGCATCCATTGTCAACCTAAACGTCTGGGCTTTATGCATCTGTGGGCAGTAATTGTATCAAAATAGATCAGTGTCCTAGGTTGACTCTGAACACGCAATGTGGTTTCTCTGTTCCACCTTTCAAACAACATCCATTTGTGGAGTGTTGATATTCAAAGTGGCACCTGCGGTTCATGTGAGATTATTGCTCCCGTTCTGCCTTTCATAGAGAAGGCACATGCAAATGCACAGCATGAGGTTTAGGGAGATAGCTGGGTATGCAGCCAGATGGAACAGCCTAGGGGATACTGGTTCTTCGTTAGCTATGTTCATCGTGACAGTTACGGATGGACGTGGAGAGTGCGTGGGGGAGCCTGACAGGTTTTTGCCCCGTGCCCAACAAGAGTGGAATAGAATATGTCAGTTCCCAACATGCTTGCTGTGACTTCAGTTGACTCCCCAATATAATGTGAAAAGATGGGGGGGGGAGGGGGGGGGGGAGGAAGATTCTATTTCAACAAAATCAATTTGCCTCTAAAACTTCCATTATCAGATCAAGCTCATGAAAGAAAAGCAGGCAATTAAACCCAATGAAAGCTTCCCAAACAAAATCACTGAGGTTAAAGATCCACATTAAT